CTAAGCCGCCACGAGCTCTCTTATCCTTATCACTGTATAACAAAAAAGTTCATTTCTCTCAACATCTAATTAACTAAGTAATATTTTTTGTGAGAGCTCACAGCCGGGCAGGAGGGAGGGAATGTGTGTCTGCACAGAAGACTTCAATGAACAACAGATACAGGTAAGTGCAACTCTGCTTTTATCTTCTGTCTTCTTGTGCAGCACCACATTGGGAACATTAGGAAGCTGCTCAACTGAGAAGGCAGGGTAAGTCTCTCACTGGAAGAGGGTCTGGAACATAGCCTTTCCAACATCCGCTTCTTTTCTTGCCTGCAACTCTAAAGTGTAACACTTTGTAAAAGTCTCCTTTGATGATCAGGTCATGGCTTTGCAAATATCGAGGAGTGGGATGTTCCGATGAAGAGCAGCTGACGAACACTGTGCCCATGTGAAATGGGCTTTCACCTCAAAAGGACAAGCCCTCCCCATCTTCCTGTAGCAGGCACAAATCGCAGCAACAACCCACCTGGCCAGCAGTTGAGGCGATGCTGTCTTTCCTTTTTTTGGACCCCAGTAACAAATAAACAACCTTTCATCCTTTCTAAAAGCTTGATCCTTTCTATATAACAAAGCAAAGACCTCCTCACACGAAATGTTGGATCAGGCCAATGGCCCATCCAGTCCAACACTCTGTCACACAGTGGCCAAAAATATCAGGTGCCATCAGGAGGTCCAGCAGTGGGGCCAGGACACTAGGAGCCCTCCCACTATTGACCCCCCCCCAAAAGCAGCAAGAAAACAGAGCATAACTTGCCCCAGAGTCCCTATCTATACCTTGTGGCGAATAGCCACCGATGGACCTCTGCTCCATATGCTTATCTAATTCCTAGGGCTGAACTCTCCACGCTGCCAAGAGTAGTTTTAGGTATTTGTCCTGGATGCACCATTCATAGTTGGTCTTGTAAACTCTGCTGAGCTTGTCGATTTCTGAATTCAATGATCTCGCTATGTGAATGGCCCTGGGAATGGCAGGAATATTGATAGCCCCATGTTGCAACTGCTTCCTGGCAATGTTCTGGGAACCCATACCACCCTTTTTGTTGAGGTAGTACATCATTACAGTGTTGTCTGTTTGGATTAAGACTCTCTTGAGAGGATATCTGTGAAGAAGGTGAGGTAGAATCTAACTGCATAGAGTTCCAAAACATTAATATGAAGGTTCACATGAGCCCCTTGATCCAAACAGAGAGGCCGGAACAATGCACCTCCCCCTTGCAGGGAGGACTTTTCCCAGTCTCCTGCTTGGACAATTTAATGGCCTCTGATTGGATCAGTTTTGCCAGACTCTTAGCATCATCTGGGAGTTGATCTAGGTACTCAGACAGGCTCTCCCACAAGAAAAGTTGGTATCCCCCACCCCCGTTATTGTCTGGTAGTTAGCATTTGAAAATTTAAAGTGGAAGATGAACAGAATTTCCTTCCCAAAAAATCCAGTCTTCGACTCTCCCTGTTGGTCAGGGATGCATGCTGGTCCGGTTGCTGGCAGGGCTGTATATCTTCTATAATGACAGAAGAGGGAGACAGATGGGTAGAAAGGTATTCCGCCGACTCCTGTTTGACCCTGTATAGCTTTTTGATTTTACAGGGCATAGCCTGGACAGAAGATGGTCTTTCCCACATCAGAGTTGTGAGATCTGACAGACCTTTGAAAACTGGGAATGCTACAGTACTGGGAGTCTCAGAGCAGAGGTGACTAAGGATCTTGTCTTTGGGCCAATTGTCAGAACTCACAACATCGATTTCCGGATCTTTTGCCATCCAAAGTATTTGCTCACCATATAGGCGAAGGTCTTCACTTGGCAAAATAGAGGTTGGATCATTGACTGTATCATCCGGGGATGGATCCAACATGCTCTCAGGGCTGTAGCAAGAAGTTACTGAAAACTCTTTGGTATAATGATATGGTGGACAGAATGGGCACTCAGCAGAACAGTCACCCAGATATCCCCTTGAAGCATCTTGCTTTATTTATTTATCTTTCAACTTCCTACCCCGCTCAAACCCCCAGGGGGTCTCTGAGCGGCTTACAGTTAATCGATTATCCCTACCTATGGCCACATATACTGGGGATGGGGACTGCCCTACCAGCACCCTGTGGAGGGTCTTTGTTGATCTTCTTTAAGATGAGGCTGATGTTGTTCCCATTGGTTTAGGTAGGATGGGGACGTGTAGTAAGCGGGCTGTTGATGGCCTGCAGGCTGCCATGACAGAGGGGTCTTGGGTCAAGATGTGTAGGTTGCCCTGCAGGGATCCCCGATGGATCATCATCAGGTTCAGAAGAAGGAGCCCAAGCAAGAAGCCAAGTGGGGAGAAAGAGTACATGGGGGGGACAGGAATGGTCTCTGTCGGAACTGGAGTCTTTAGACTGTTCTGCATATTTCACAACTCTAGTAATTAAGCTAGACTTCTCCCTATGCTTTGACCTCTTGTGTTTTTAGCTGGAGGCTCAGAGTGTGGTCTAGCCTTAGTAGAAGGTCCCAGAGAGGGGGAGAGTGGACACCCCCATCCTAACTCAGAAGTGACAGACGCAGCTCTCTTAGGAGGTGTCAGAGTTGGCCATACGGTCAGAACCATTGGAATGGAGTGGACCAACAGGGGGCTGGAACATGGTCCAACAGTTAAAACTGGAGGTGAAACTGAGCCCATTGATCCAGGGCTATAAATCAATTTAGCCGGAATCAAGGCGGCCAGGGCCTTATCCCATAGAGCGGCTTTAAGTCTAGAGGCTCTATCAGCCTGAGCCTTTGGCATGAAGTGTTGACAGATAGGGCAGGCTCCCATTTTCTGGGTTTCACCCAGGCAAAGGAGACAAAGCCCATGGTCATCAGTTTGGGTCATTTTGGTGCCACATTTTGAACATTTCTTAAATAGGGCCTTGGCCGCTGTTATGGAGGTCCCACAAGCACACAACCACCAAAACAGGGACCTTGGATGAGAAAGAAAATATTTTTTTGCTTTCAAATGAGAACAGAGTTACAGTTTTTTCAGTATGACAATGAATGAACAGAGTAAAACTAGAAAGCGTCCCAGTCTTGCAGTGGTGAAAAAGGAACTGAGGGGAGGGGGCAACCCGCTGCTGGAGCATGTGACACATTCGGCAGGAAATATGACGCATGCATCAGCTCCGAAAGGGGTGAGTCTCCCTATTTTAAAGTTTTAAAGCGAGAAAGAAAATGTCTGTGGCTGGCCTGCGCAAGTGGAGTCCCAGTGTGGGGCTGCACAAGAAGACAGAAGATGAATATATGCTAACCAGAATGGTATACAATACCTGATAAAATTTGCTGTCTGCAGTTTGCACACAAAATCAGAATAGTCACATATGGTTCAGCCCTTAATTTTAAATTTTAAAAGGTGAGTTAAACTATTTCCTAAAGCACCCAGAAGAGGGCATTATTACAATAAAATATCTGAAGTTTGTTTTCTCTGTTTATGATCATAGAATAAATACGGAACAGAGGTGAAAACCATTTGTGAACAGAAAGGATAATGGCCTAGCAAACAAGACCAGAAATGTAAATCCATATCAATATCAAATTGTAAAGTATTCTTCTGTCCTCTGCTGTGCTTTCGCATAAACATAATAGTATTAATCCAACAAGTAAGTTATACTCACTTCTGTTTCACAATAAAAACTGGCCAAACTTTCAAAAACTGATAAAATATTCACAGCAACGTTTTTAAATTCTGAAGAACCTCTAAAACAATGGCCACAATCCTGCCCTTGATGGGCGAGTAGGTGCTGAGATGGTACTGCCAGGCTACTACCTCCAACTGGATACCAAGATGATTTTCTTGCTAGGAAGCTTCCATAGAAAACCCATAGACACCAATCAGTTTACCTAACTTTATCATTGCATGTGTTCTCAAGCAAGGAGTAGACACCAATCAGTTTACCTAACTTTATCTCAAGCAAGGAACACCTTATTTCACACTGTCAATGGTAACCTAGCAGTGCTCTCTCATCTGCACTGACCACAGCTCAGCTGTCAAGAGTGAACAGACCCTTTATCCAATATTTTGTACAAATGTACATACAGCCTCCCTGGATCATGCCATATTTGCACATAAACCACAAAAAGGTTTGACAGTACTTTTACTTACATATCCCAGTTTGGAGCTATCCGCAACTGCTGTATTAGCACTGTGAACTAGGAAGTTTAAAAAGATATCAAATTAGTCATGATAATTAATAAATGAACAAGAAATTAAAACATCTGGAAAAAATTACACTATTATAGTTCTACTTGAAGAGCCAAAAGGCCCCGATAAGAAATAACAGGCAAGGTTCATGGATTAGTGTTCTTTGAGGGAGTGAACAAACATGTGGAAAAGGGGGACCCAATAGATGTTGTTTACCTTGACTGCCAGAAAGCTTTTGATAAAGTTCCTCATCAAAGGCTCTTAAGTAAGCTCAATAGTCACGGGATAAAAGGACAAGTCCTTTTGTGGATCAAAAACTGACTGATTTAATAGAAAACAGAGATTGAGTATAAATGGGCAATTTTCTCAGTGGAGGGTGGTAAGCATTGGGGTACCACAGGGATCAGTACTCGGTCCAATGCTTTTTAACTTATTAATGATTTGGAGTAGGGAGTAAGCAGTGAAGTGACTAAATTTGCAGATGACACGAAGTTGTTCAGGGAGGATTGTGAGGCACTCCAAAGGGATCTGTCGAGGATAGGTGAATGGGCGTCAACGTGGCAAATGGGGTTCAATGTGGCCAAGTGCAAAGTGATGCACATTGAAGCAAAAAATCCTGACTATAAATACATGTTGAAGGGGTCTGAACTGGCAGAGACTGACGAAGAGAGAGATCTTGGAGTTGTAATAGATAACTCAATTAAAATGTCAAGACAGTGTGCGACTGCAATAAAAAAGGCCAATGCTATGCTGGGAATTATTAGGAAGGGAATTGAAAACAAATCAGCCAGTATCATAATGCCCCTGTATAAATTGATGGTACGTCCTCATTTGGAGTACTGTGTACAGTTCTGGTCACCACACCTCAAAAAGGATATTATAGCATTGGAAAAAGTGCAGAAAAGGGCAACTCAAATGATAAAAGGGTTGGAACACTTTCCCTATGAAGAAAGGTTAAAGCGCTTGGGGCTCTTTAGCTTGGAGAAACGATGGCTGAGGGGTGACATGATCGAGGTTTATAAGATTATGCATGAGATAGAGCAGGTTGAGAAAGAAGTACTTTTCTCCCTTTCTCACAATACAAGAACTCGTGGGCACTTCATGAAATTGCTGAGCGGTCGGGTTAGAACAGATAAAAGGAAGTACTTCTTCACCCAAAGAGTGATTAACACATGGAATTCACTGCCACAGGAGGTGGTGGCGGCTACAAGCATGGACAGCTTCAAGAGGGAACTGGATAAGCATATGGAGCAGAAGTGCATCGGTGGCTATTAGCCACAAGGTATAGATAGGAACTCACAGGCTGGGGCAGGTGATGCACTGTATTCTTGGTGCTTAGGGGGGGCAACAGTGGGAGGGCTTCTAGTGTCCTGGCCCCACTGCTGGACCTTCTGCTGGCACCTGGTATTTTAGGCCACTGTGTGACAGTGTTGGACTGGATGGGCTGCATAAATTAGTTTGCTCTGGAGCCATCCCTCCTGAGCTAAGACAAAAGTGTGTGAGCCAGAGGCTAAAAAACTGTGAGCTAGCTCACACTAACTCAGCTTAGAGGGAACACAAGCTCATTCTTTTGCTTATGCTCCCACCATGGAACTGTACAACTCAAATATGCCAGGTTCAACGTGTATGCTAGAATACACACACTGACCTGGACTGGGAGCATGCATTCTTAAATACACTACAGAGTGGTGTAGTGGTTAAGTGCACGGACTCTAATCTGGGAGAACCAGGTTTGATTCCCCACTCCTCCACTTGATCCTGGCTGGATGACCTTGGGCAAGTCGTAGTTTTGATAAGAGCTGTTCTTGAAAAAGAGCAGTTTCTGTCAGAGCTCTCTCAGCCCCACCCACCTCACAGGGTGTCTGTTGTGGGGAGGGGAAGGGAAAGGAGATTGTAAGCCACTCTGAGACACCTTTGGGTAGTGAAGGATGGGGTATAAATCCAATCTCTTCTTCTTCTCTTCTACATCATTACACTGGGCATCTTCCATTCTTCAATCAAGCACTCAAAATAAGCAAAAACAACTACCCACAGTTAATGTATATAATGTTTTATCCAGAAGCAACCAGAGTATTTCCTCTCTCAGTTCTGATGGTGCACCAATTGCTTTGGTGCTCTTACAGTACAATTCTAAGCAGAGTTACACCCTACTAAGCCAAATGACTTCAATGGACTTCAAAGGGTGCAACTATCCTTAGGCCTGCACTGTTAGTTTTAAAAAAGTAGTAAACAGCATCATTGCAAGTGGCATCTGACTTTTCCACATTAGCTTTGTGCCGATCTCACTGGCTCTTGACAAGCTAAATTACTTACCAGCTGTGTCTTGATTAACTTAGTTGCTACTTCCTTATTGCCAACAACAGTGCAGAGGTAGCAAAGTAAATTCAGTTTAGCTCGGGCTGTTCCTGTGGTCTTCTCTGGGGAGTCAATCAGCTGACACAGCTGCTGCAGGAAGTCATTCCACTCTGCTTCTTTTAGCAGCAAGAGCTTCTCAGCTGCACAGAAAATGTCAAGAACAGTTTCAAAAACATATGCTGGGTTCTCAAGCTGTAGACTATAAGCCCAAATGATTTTATAAAAAGAGTTCACGAATATTTACTTATTTTCAAAATGATTAGGTGATGTAACAGTTCCTTTGAATGCTGACTGAGCTTCATACAAAACATGATGCAAGATATGTATCACTGCCTAATCTTATGTATGTTAAATCAAAAGTAATAAGGTTTTGTGTGTCCTGAGCAAATATGCATAGCATAGCAGCCTCAGTCTACTGAGAATCTACATTTTGCACATTTGGAGAGCAGTCCATTAAGTTCCCATTGCTCCTTTTACTACAACACACTATAAATCAGATAACAGGTTATGTTTTTATTTCATAGATCAGCTTGTAAGCACTGCTTGAGAAAAGGATGACCATAAGAAATCATTTCTTACATCCTACTGAACAGGTGTTACTTACATTTATAAATATTTATGTGACCTATGGACAAACAGGTACAATAGTCTGTTAAAGATTTGGGGAAATCAAGTGATTAGTGTGAGGTCACCAAGGCAACCAATGCAGTACCACAGTACTGATTAGACCTTAAATATCCAACTAAGACA